GTGCGTGCAGAGCGCGGTCTTGACCAAGGCTGCCCCTTGTCGCCCGCCTTCTTCGCCGTCGCCGTGGCGAACGTGTGCGTCGCCCTTGAGGCGGCGGCCGCCGTCGACCCCGAAGCGCGCTTGCTGGCCTACCTGGGCGACAGCTACTTCAAAGCCACGCTGGCGGCGCTGGAAGCAGCGTGCGCCGCAGCCCCTGCCGCTTTCGCGAGAGTCGGCCTCCGCGTGAACGAGGACAAAACGCAGTTCTGGAACCCGTGGGGTCTGCAGCTCCCGGCGTCTCTGGCTGGGAATGCGGCGTCGCAGATGCACTGCCTCGGGGCGCCCCTGCCGTTTGTCCGCGGCGGGGCGGCGGCAGAGGAGCTCGGCGCCGACCCAGCGCAGCTGAGCTTCGCGCCGCACCGCGCCCGGGCGCACCTGCTTAGCGAGGACTGGTGCCAGGACTGCGACCGCAAGGTGGTGGCGCACCTGGAGGGCTTGCTCGGGCGACCTCTGCCGCCAGACGCGCGGGAACAGCTGTTCCTTCCCTCAGCAGAGGGAGGGATGGGCTTGCACAGCACGGCCCAGCGCAGGCGCGCCGCCTTCGCCAGATCGCGGCTCGCTTGCCTGGCCGACGTTCGGCGGGAACTGGGCGAGGCCAGCTTGGGGGCTTTCGCCTCGAGCTGCCCCATGCTGTGGAGCGCGGCGGAACGGGTCGGCAACGAGCTCCGTTTCGGGGTTGGTGAGTGGCACCAGGCTGCAGAGGAGCCGAGACGGAAGGCGCAGAAGGCCCTTGCGCACCGCGAGCTGGACGAAAGTCGCAAGCAGCTCCCGGCAGCGCTGCCCCCGGGGCAGGCTGCCTTGCTGCGCTCGGCGAGCGGGAAAGGCGCGGGCAGCTGGCTGCTCCCGCCGACGCTGGGCGGGCACCGCCTGGCGGACGAGCACTTCCTGGCAGCGCTGGGGCTGCGCCTCCGCCTCCGGCGGCCCGCCGACTCCAGCGCCACCTGTCAGCGCCGCCGCGCCGACGGGCACCTCTGCAGAGCGGACCTTGCGCGGGCCCCGACCCGCCCCCGGGACTACCATACTGGCGCAGGCACGATAGCGCGCCACAGCGCCATCCGCGACTGGCTCGCGCGCTGGCTGAAGGAGCGCGGGGCGAGGGGCGTGGGCACTGAACGGCTGGTCCCCGCTTGGGACAGGGTCCGCCAAGACGGCCGTCTGGAAGCGGCGCGCCTGGGCGCTACTTACGTGGGCCCAGTGGCAGGCACCGCGCATATGTGGACGCCGAGGCGACCAACGCCGCAGCCGGGGCCGCGACTTCAGCAGGGCGGGGCCGAGCCTGGCGCGACGGAGCCGCGGCGGCCGCGGCAGAGGAGCGGAAGCACCGCCGCTACCCCGGCGCGGCACTGCGCGCTTTCGCGCTCGAGACGCTCGGCCGGCCAGGGCGCGAAGCGCATGGCGTCCTGCGCACCTGGGCGGCCGGCGACGCGACCGCGCTCTCGGCGGCGCGCCAGAGCCTGGCCGCCGCGCTCCAGAGGGCGAACGCCGAGGCTTACAACACCTCGGCGTGGCCGCCCCGCCGCCGCGCCCTGCCGCGCCTCTTAAGGCGCCGAGCGGTGCCAGGGCCCCCCGCGACCAGGGGGGGTCGCCGCGCCGCGGGCGCGCAAGCGCTGAAGCGCGGGCGGCGGGGGCGACGCTGCCCGCTTTCTCTCTTCCAGGCGCCCTTTGCCCCTCTTTCTTCTTCCCATTCCCCTCCGCAGTCGCAGCGTCCGTTTATCTAGTTTTCGCTGCTGTTTGTCTGTTCAGTTCCCTCTCCTCCCCTCTCCTTCCCCGCTCCGTGCCTCCGGCGGGTGGCGCGAGCGCCTGAGGGGGGGCCTGGTGGCTCACGCCTCCCCGCCGCGCGCCCGTCTCCTCCGCCTTCCGGTCTCTCCCGGCCCCCTCCTCCTCCCTCACCTCTACCCCTTGCCGCTTTTGGAAGTGCGCCCTGTCGCGGGCGCCGGGGGGGGGGGGGCAGGGCGAGGAGGAGGACGACGAGGACGAGGACGAGGAGGAGGAGGAGGAGGAGGAGGAGGCGGAGGAGGAGGAGGAGGAGGAGGCGGAGGAGGCGGCGGAGGCGGAGGAGGAGGACGAGGAAGATGAGGAGGAGGAGGCGAGACGCCCAGCTGCTCCTCCTCCGGCTCTGCCCTCGCCCTGCTCTCGTCCTGCCCGAGGCCGGGCCGCGGGGAGCCCCGGGCCCGCCCGGGACTCGCGAGGGGCCCCCGCCTGGCCCGAGGGGCGCCCCTCCCGGGCCGGGGCCCGCCCGGCCGCCAGCCCGCCGAGTTCCCCGGGAGGGGGCGGCCCCGAGCCCCGAGATCCAACGCATCGAAAAAATCGAGGCGGAGGTGTTTTGCCATCGTCGGCCTCTGGAGGCCCTCGCCGGGCCTCGGGACCGTCAGAAAACGGATCGGGACGAAGAATTGGCCCTGGGGAAAGGGTCGGGATTTCCAGGAACCCCGTACTGATACAATCACGACATCAGATCTTT